GTGGATCCTTTGTCTAAATCTGCACATTTTCTACCAATGAGAGAGAAATACTCTTCAGAAAAGCTAGCGCAGATTTACATCAAAGAAATTGTTACCAAACACGGTGTTCCCTTGTCCATTATCTCTGATAGAGATAGTCGGTTTACTTCAAAGTTCTGGGGAGGATTACAGAAAACTTTGGGTCTGAAATCCGATTAAGTACAGCTTATCATCCGTAAACTGATGGGCAGAGTGAAAGAACTATTCAGACTCTCGAAGATATGTTAAGAAGTTGTACTATTGGTTTCGGGGGATCGTGGGAAGATCACTTGCCATTAATAGAGTTTGCGTATAACAATAGTTACCATTCCAGTATCCAAGCGGCACTATATGAAGTGTTGTATGGACGTAAATGTCGAACGCCGTTATGTTGGAATGAAGTAGGTGAGAAACAGCTGGCAGGTCCTGAAATTGTCCAAGAAACTTCTGAAAAGATCGAACAGATCCGTGAAAGAATCAAAATAGCACAAGATTGCCAGAAAAGTTATGCAGATAATCGTGTCGAAAGCCAATTGAGTTTAATATAGGTGGTTTTGTAATGTTAAAAGTTTCGTCATGGAAGGGTGTTATCAGATTTGGAAAGAAAGGAAAGCTCAGTCCAAGGTATGTAGGGCCGTTTTCAGAATATGTAAACGAATTGGGCCAGTAGCATATAAGTTAGAGCTGCCAGAAGAGCTGAGTTTAATTCACAACACTTTCCATGTGTCGAATTTGCGGAAATATTTGGCTGATCCGAATTTAGCTATACTGTTACCAGAGATTCAATTAGATAGTAAGCTGAATTTTGTGGAAACACCGGAAGCTGTAATCGACAGAAAGATTAGGGTGTTGAGAAACAAAGAAATAAATCTGGTTAAAATTCAGTGGAAATTTCACAAAGGATCAGAAGCAACCTAGGAATTGGAATCAACGATGAGATCAGAATACCCATGGCTTTTTAATTAAAGGAATTCCGAGACGAAATTATTTTAAGGGGTGGATAATGTGATAACTTGATCCTGGTTATCACCCAAGGTAAATAATATGTGATTATCTGATAAAATGATTACGTGATAGCATGATAAATTATTACGTTTGATCATGCTAGGATGTGAAAATGTGCATAATATGAAATGCATATGTTATATACATATATATAT